GATCCCCAGGCTCCCTGCACACCCAGCAGATGGGATGTGACAAATGAACAAGGCACAGTGCTCTACATTCGCAGCGGCCGGCGCCTCGGGGCTCACCAGCCTTAGGGACTGCTTCCACCTTCCTGATTTTAACCACGCTGGGAAAGCCTTTCTGGAGAGAAGCACGTGTGCCTCCCCTGTGCCCCCACTCACCCAGGGATGACCAATCCTGGGAAGTGCCCAGAAACTCAGTGCAGGAAGGGACAGCACCCACTGTGGCTGTGCACAGGCCTGTGAGCTGCTGCCCTGCCAGGGGGCTCTGAGCTTCACTCCCATGACAGTCACATTGGTGGATACAAAACTTCACATGGCCTTTACACCTCTGGTCACAGCCCTGGCTCCATGAAGGGCCTGACAGTGCTCAGGGTTCTGGCAGAAGCATGCAGGACACTGTGCTATGTGGGGGGCTGCACACTGGTCAGTACTGATCCCCGAGATCACCTCCCCTCATGCCATAACCCCCAGGATGCTGCTGTGATCCACTTTAACAGTGCCCCTTCTAACATTTACAGAGTGCCTGATGGTTTATGTGATGGAACACCTATGCTTTTGGCTACAGGGAACACCCAGAAATCCACTCCCACAGCCCCAGATTTCTGTGGAGCAGACACCAACACCTGGGCCCCTTCCCCACGTGTGAGAGCTGCTGCAGACAGCAATGCCAAGCATGGATGAGCTCTGTCAGACCCTGCACGTGGGCACAGGGCCTGTGCAAGGCTAGATTTTGTACAAAAAGCTGGGCACATAGTCAAATCTGAGCAGGGGGTTCCTCCCCTGCCCCGGTTCCTGAATGTAGTGCAGCTTCAGCAGCTCGGCCAAGTACTGCACGATTTTGACATCCTCATTGGCAAGGCCCAGCTGAAGCTTCAGGAAGTTCATCCTGCGATTCACGACGGACTCCTCCGGTTCCCTTTCGCTGATGGGGAGGTGCAAATGGTGGCAGAAGGTGAAGAGGAAGGCTTTGGAGCACAGCTGGGTGAGGATGCTCTGCACGTGCATGTAGTAGGTGCTGCCCCGCTTGATCTGGGTGCGGTGGTCGGCCAGCCTGGCCACCACGCTGCCCTTGTACAGGGGGCACCGCAGGGTCTTGCTGTCGGCGTCCAGGATGCTCAGGTAGCGGCTGTAGCGGCTCAGGGCGTGCAGCACGTTCACCCCGCCGGGGGACACTGCCCTGCAACGGCAGCACACAGGTCAGGGCTGCAGGGCAGCCACAGGGAAGCAGCACGGGGCGTCCGTGCCCTGTGCAAGAGCTCTGGGGGTGAATAAAGCCTAAAAGGGGACAAATTGACTCTAAAGAAACCTCGATTCCCTGGATTCCCACGTGCCCTGATCTGTACTGTGCATGCTGCAGCATAAACTGCCTCACTTCAGGTCAGCTCCCTCCCTCAGTGACACGCAGAGGGACTCACAGGACATCTCTGGTGAGCAGACACATTTTACAGCAGCTCAAAGCCTCCCACTGTGACTCAGAAACCCAAAGCATCCCCTTTCCCAAGAGCTCCCCCCAAATCCCCTTGGAATGGAGCTCTTCTGAGGTGGTTGAAGCCCTGAGTGCAGCAGAACCTTCTGAATTTCCTAAAAGACAGAACCATCCTTAACCCAAAACATTTCGTGGCTGAGCCTATTTGTCACTCAGGTGCAAACCCACAGCTCACAAGGATGCAATTACCAACCGAGCTTAACCTAATGGCATTGAAATGCAAATGAGCAGCCTACGCACACCCTTCAGCTCCTGCATGCTTTGTGCTGACAGCTGCTGGGCTGAGACACAGCTCCCAGCCTCTAACTGGGAGCCCTAACTGGTGTAGGGGCTGCCCCAGTGCCCAGGCAGCACCTGGCCATAGGAGACACTGGATCCTCACTGGAATAAATAGTTCAGCCTCTGAATTCCTTCCCAGAGCCCTCCTACAAATGGTTTGTGGAGAGCAGCCACATTAAACTGAGCACTTAATTAACATTCCACGGAGGAGAGCTGAAATGACTGACACATGTTACAGGCAGCTCTTAAATAAAGATTTCTGTTTATAAAAATGGCATCTAACCACAAATATTGAGCAACAAGTAAACACTTGGGGTTTTTAAAAACCTCCCTGACAGACAGAGAGCTTGTGAGCAGCTGCTGGCAGAGCTGTCATCCTGCCTCACAAGCACAGAAATGAGAGCAAACTCACAGTTTTGGATAATTTTCCCCAGCAATACAATACTCTGCAGCTCAGCAAGCAGGTTTCTGTGTTTTAATTTTCCTGCTGTTTACAAACACTCCTGCAGGGGCTGTTCCAGCCTGGCTCTGAGCACTGTCTGCCACTCTGACTCATGTTTTCCATGCTGGTGACAGCAATGGCCATTCCCTGCCATACCTGCACCCAAAGCACAGAACACATCCTGGAACACACCAAAAAATCCTTTTCATCAACAAGGGCAGGGCCCTTGAGCTGAGCAAACATTCTTTGCTAGTATGAGCTAATAAGTGAAGCCACAGCTCAGGACTGGGTGCTGGGAAGGGGCACTTGTTTTTGGGACAGCTCTCACCCTAAGCAGAGGTTTCCTACAATCCCAACACTGCTCCTGCACAGCTCCAGGGACCTTTCTTCCTCACCAGCACGCCTGAGGTGCTGCACTCCAATTCTGACCTACAGATCTCATCACTTCTTCAGTAGGCTCCAGAAGGTAAAAAAGGCTCCTCCCCTCAAGCACAGCACCATCTACACAAAAATTCCAGTTAGAAATGTGAGAAGAGTTCCAGCAGGAGATGGCAAAGCAGAGCACACAAGGAACTCCATGAACACTTGTACCAGATCATCCAGGAACTCAGCAGGACTCAGATGTTTGTTCTCTGCTTTGCCAGACAAAAACCTCCTGGCCAAATAACTCACCTGAGACAGGCAGCAAGTGCCCAGCAGATGTTCTAAAGATTAACTCTCAAGTGAGGCTGGATGCAGGGATAAATCTGCTCCTTTTCCTACCAGCAGAAATTCGTGACAGCTACGTTGGTAATTCAGAGACCTCCCCTGCACACTCATTGCCCTCTGAGATGAAGCTCTCACCACACACCTCAACCCTACTTGAGCAACCAGACCCTTGCATTTACCTCTGCAGTCCAATCAACTTCCACTTCTGGAAATCCACCAGGTGCAGAGCGGAGGTGACCCAGTGCTTCACGGGCTTGGCATACCCACCACAGCTGGGCACGAAGATGGAGAGCGCCGTCACCAGCCTCTTGACCATGGCCTCGTCCTCGCCCAGCACCACCAGGGTCCTGCCGCTGAGCAGGGAGTAGATGGCGGGGTGGGCAAAGGGGTACTGGCGGATGAAGCGCAGCGCGTTCTGCCCGGCCCTCTTCCTGTGCCTGTCCGCGGCCGCCGCGCACGCCGGCTGCGCCGGGGACGGGGTCCTGTCGGAGCACGTGGAGGCGGCGCTGCTGATGAGGCTGGTGGAGTCCGAGCACTCGTCCAGGCTGCTCTTACTCACCTCCCTGCTGCCCGTCAGGCGGCGCGAGTCGGGCTCGTAGGGCAGGAGCCCCCCCGAGAGGGCCTGGTGGGAGGGGAAGCCCCCGCGCAGCCCCTGCTCGGCCGGGCCCCGGTAGGGCTGCGGCGGGATCCGCACCACACCGTCCTCCTCGCACGGCCTCTGCCCCAGCTGCTCGGCCAGCGGCTCCAGGAAACTGGGGCTCTCCTTCCCGATGCAACAGGCAGCATCCACCTGCACCAAGCTCTCCTGCTTGGAGATGTCATCCTGCCCGTCATGCGCGCCCGGGTTGGCTTTGGGGGTGAAGCGAAGGCCTCCCTCGTCATCATCCGCGTAGGGCTCCTCGTTAATGGCACTTGGGTAGCTGGCTTTGAAGTCCTCTGGGATGAGGGCCTCGGAGGGACACGTGCTGAGCACCTCGATGCTGTCCTCGCTGACCGTGCGCCGGCTGCCCACCTTGCTGCGGCCGGCCTGGGGGCTGGCCATGGCGGGCAGGCTGGCCTGGCTCTCTGATTTTGTCAGCCCAGAGCCCGACTTCTCCGTGCCCAGCACCTCGATGCTCTCCCCGCTGCTGATGCTGCCTTTGATATCTGCATCCAGATAGTCCAGGTTCTCCTGCTGCTCAGACATCACCGACTCAGACATCTTGGGTTCTTCACAGTCCTCCATTTCCTGCTCCATCTTGATGGGCACACACTCCACGCTGGATTTGTAGGAGCCCAGGCTGATGACCACTTTGGGAGCAAGGGACTCTTCCAAACATTTTTCATCCATGGCATCTTGGCCGAGCCCCTGGCAGCCTCTGTATTGTTTTTCAGGAGGTTTTTCATCCAGGAAAGAGACATCCTCAAAGAGGAAGTTGGTGACACTCTGCTGCTTGAGGAGAGCCCGGCTGATCTGCTCTGTCAAGAGGTAACAAACATCCCCTCGAAAAGTCCTCTCGATATGGTGCAACTGGTCAAGGGTCTGGGTGAAAAAATAAACATCACAGAGCTCCTCCAGTGTCTTCAGCTTCTTGTCAAAGCACTTGGCAGACTTGGCTTTGATGAGTTTGGGGGTGTAGGATGGCACGTGGGTGTAAAGGTGAGTCTCACCAGGCTCAGAGGCAGTTGGGTCCTGATCATGGCTGCCCGCATCAGCCTGGTCCAGGGCACACTCTGGCTCGTAGGCGTGGAATTCAGAGTCCTTCAGCTTCCTGTAGGGATACGACCGGATTTGCCTCAGCAGGTCTTGATGCTCTATGATCGATTTCTCCACGCTGGCCAGCTCGTTGGCCTTCTCAATGGCCTGGGTTGTGTAGTACCCCTTGTCGTTGGCTTTCTTCTGCTGCTCAGTCTCGTTGTGCAGGACGGTCCTGGTGTAGTCAAGATCTTTCAGTTTCTTTTCCAGCTCGTTAGCAAACGCTTTCCGGTTCCCCGTCTTCAGGCATTCGGAGGCTTTGGAGAACTCGGTGGAAAGTTCCTGAAACTGCTGCATGATTTTGTGCTCGTCAGCAGAAATGTAGGCCATGCAGAAGGGCCTCACAAAGCCCCTGGCTTCCAGGTCATACAGGGTCAGGTGGTGCACGTAGGCAAAAGCCCCTTCCTTGGAGTCCCCCAGCACCACCTTGGAATCCTCCACAAAGTTCAGCTTCGGGTAGGCAGAGCCAGGAGGGTGCCCCACGAAGGATGCCTGGTAATCCACAGACATGATCCGCAGGGAAAAGTAATTGAGATCGAAGGTGCCCGACACTTTGGCGTCATCGGGGATGGTCAGAAGGGGCTGGGGCCCCACTTGCTCCGAGAACTCGGAGATGAGGATGAAGTCCCGGGTGAACTTGGAGCCGGCGACCTTGGCCCAGGGGTTGGCGCCCTGGCCGGAGAAGGGGAACAGCGGCACCGAGTACTCCTCGGGCAGGGGCGGCTCGCGGTACAGATCATCCTCCAGCTCCTCCTCCCTGGTGAAGGCCACCACGTCAGGGGCGCTGATCATATTTCCCGCAGGACGGGACCGACATGGAGCAGCGACGCGCCCCCGGTCCCCCCGCCACCGCCGGGCCCCGCGGGAGGCACCGGCGCAGCCCCGGCCCGGCCCCGCCGCTGCCGCAGCCCCGGGTCCCCCTCACGCCGCCGCCATGGCCGGAGCCGCCGCCTCCTCACGGACCCGCAGCCATCTTGGAGTCACATGACGCGCGGCCTCTGACCCCGCCGGCAGGAAGCGACGCCACCGCCTCCTCTTCCTCCTCTTCCTCAGCTGGAGTTGTTTATATTTACCGTCGTCGCTTTTTGTCGTTACCGACCGTGGGACGCGCCCAGAGGGGGCGGGAAATGGGGAAAACCGAGGTGGAGCGGCGGCGGGAGAGGCGCCGCGGAGCATCTCGGGAGTTGTAGTTCGTTGGCGCCGCCGCGGCTGCGCTTTACGGCAGGACGTGACGGTGACGGGGAGCGACAGCGGAGCGCGGGAGGTCTGGGAGGTGAGGGGGGAACGGGGAGAAAAGGGCGAAGGAAAGAGAAAGGGAAGGGGAAGGGACAGCCCGAGGGGGATCGGGGATGGCGTGGGGACTGCGCTGCCCCGGGTAAGGGACAGCCCCAGGGGGATCGGGGGTGATGAGGGGACTGCGCTACCCCGGTACGGGAGAGCCCAAGGGGGGATCGGGGGTGATGAGGGGACTGCCCTGGCCCCGGGTAAGGGACAGCCGAGAGGGAGCAGGGTTGATGAGGGGGCTGCGCTGCCCCGGCTGTGGGGGAGAGGGCAGCCCCAGCCCCAGCAGGAAAGGGCCGAGGGACGGGCTGCAGGACCCCCGGCAGCTGTGCCTGCAGAGAGGTGACATCTCCATCCCCCAGGGGCTGCCCCGAGCCTCCCGGTGACCCCGGCGCTCTCTCATCCCAGCAGCACCGGCCCGGGACGCGGAGCAGCAGCAGCAGCAGCAGCATGCCCTGGCCTCACCCCCTGTGATGAACGTGTCGGTGCGGCTGCTCCGCAGGGCCAGCATGCTGCCCCAGCCCTGGCGCTGCTTCTCGCGGGCCGCGGAGGAGGTGGCGCTGCAGAGGATCCGCAAGGTGCTGTGCGTGGCCGAGAAGAACGATGCTGCCCGGGGCATCGCCGAGCTGCTCTCCAACAGGAGGATGCGGCGGGTAGGAACGGCCCGGCCACGCCGTGCTATCCATCCCCTGGGGCACGGAGACAGGGGTTGGGCGGGTCTGTGTTGTGTATGGCAGCTCCAGCACTCCCAGCAGAGCTTGGCATGGCCATTTCACATCAGCACATGGCACACTTGGTACTGGTTTTGTCCCTGGACACACGAGGGTACAAGAATGTTCTGCGGACAGACATCACTTGCCCAAATGTATTTGGGAGTCTCAGGTCCTCGTGGGTTAAGCCGAGTGGGAATTCAGCTCCCTCTGCCTTCCCGTGGTGAGAGCTCCCCGGGTCCTTCCTGACAAGGGCTTCAGAAACTGACACCATCCATTGGCATGCATTTCCCTGTCTAAAGCAGCACTTCTGCAGCATCAGCAGTGTCAGGCGTTTGCTGGAGGTCACCAAATAAAACAAAAACGGGCTGTGGTTTGGAGAAGAAAAATTAAATTATTTCTACTCTCTGCTGCTCTGGTAACAGTTTGCATAATCACTTCCTGTTTCCAAACTAAGGAATTTCCAAACTAAGGTGCTGCTAGACCAGAATCAGAGAGTCACTGAGGTTGAAAAAGACCTCTGAAATTATTGAATCCAACCCATGATCCCCACCTTGGCACCCAGACCTGAACACTGACTGCCACATCCAGGTGTTCCTTGAACACCTCCAGGAGTGGTGACTCCACCAATTCCCTGGGCACTTGCAATGCTTGATAACCCTTTCCATGAAGAAATTCTTCCTGATGTCCAGCCTAAACCTTCCCTGGGACAGCCTGAGGGTGTTCTCTCTCACCTTGTCACCTGGGAAAAGTGGCTCCAACCTCCTTTATTTGAATAAAAGGTGTTATTGAGAATCTGGATGCTGACAGTCCCAATCAAGACATCAGTCATCCTACCTCTGTAAAAAAAGCAGTAAATACACAATCTAGAAGCTTCCATGAGTCCCAGTTAGGTGGGAGGTAGCCTTGGGGACACTGCTTGTCACTTGGAACAAGATAGGAGTTTCTAAAAACTGGCCAGCCCCATTAAATAAATCAGTTCCTCATTATTCATGGGGAGATAACCCTGGCACCACCTTCAGGAATGGTTTAAAATCCTCTTACCTTGGGAATCACCATTTCAGTGCCTCCATAAATGATACAGGAGATTTCCATCCCAGTGTGGACAAAGCGGGGCAGGATGGATTTGTTTCCTGTAAAAAATTTTAATTAAAAAAAATTTAAGAATTTGTGTCCTGTGAAAATCCAGAAACTCAGGAATTCTCCTTTTCCTTCCAGCGAGAAGGGTTTTCCAAGTTCAACAAAATCTATGAATATGATTACCAGATGTTTGGCCAGGTAAGAGTTCTCTCTCCATCTGCTGCTGGATTAATGAAGTACAAATACTAATTAATAAAAGCCATTTCTCAGGAGTTAAAAAACACAGGGATGTTCTGCCCAAAGATGAGAAAAAGTCAGATGTTGTTTTCTTTGCTCCACCACCTGTTTTGTTGCTCTAAATCTTTTAACTTTCTGGTTTTATGTCTGTCAAAAATATGTTGCTGTTTCAAATTGGGATCTTCCTACAAAAATTGAGGATAAGACCATGGATGGAGCTTGTTATGATGGTTGCTCCATCCCTGGAAGTGTTCCAGGCCAGGTTGGATGGGGCTTGGAGCAGCCCGGGACAGTGGAAGGTGTCCCTGCCATGAAAGAGGTGACACTGGATGGGCTTTAAGGCTCCTCCCAACCCAAACCACTCTGGGATTAACAGGAGAAAGGTGTCACCAATCATTTAAACTGAGAACCAAAGGGGGATTTTGGGGCTGTGGGTAGTTTTTGGTGAGTGATGGGCACTAATTTCCTCGCTGTGTCTCTTGCAGAACGTTACCATGGTGATGACATCCGTGTCAGGACATTTACTGGCTCATGATTTTATCATGCCATTTCGCAAATGGTTGGTACCTCGTGGCCCTGGCAGGGAGGGGAAGGGCTCTGTCACCTCCTGGCCCTCACAGGAGGGGCTCTGTCACCTCCTGGCCCTCACAGGA